ACAGACATTTAAAAATTATTTGTATTGAATTTATTTTTTTAAATTCAAATTAGTTTTCCATTGTATAATTGCTAATGCTTATTTCCTCTATTTTAAATTTTTTTATGATTTATTAATACTGTTAAATGTAATCTTTAGCAAATCTTAAAATGAAAATAAATTAAATTTTAAGATGTTCATTTTGTAAATGTATTTTGTGATTCCTAAATTCATGTAGCATTTAAAATTATTGATTTTACTTTAGTGTTTTTTTTTAGAATTTTTTAGAAAGTTAACATTTCTTGGTTATAAACCATATTGTGTTGTCATAACTGTTAATACACTTTCTCAGTGCACTTTAGTGTATGCCTCACTTTCATATGTTTTGTCTAGCCTGTAATTTTCATGAACAAAATTAAAGCTTTGTATTGCCTCTTTGTTGTAAGTCCCTTTGGATAAAAGCATCTGCTAAATGAATAATAAGGTTGGGAACTGCTGATATAGAGAATGACCACACACAGTACTGGAACCACAGTAAAATCACATTTTAGTGACCTTGTTGTGGTCCATGCCATACAGAAGAGTCTTTCTTGAACAAATAGGACTATAGGGAGCAACTGTGCTATTGAGTTTCTGTGCTGCATGTGTGCAGTGGAGTAAAACTGTTGAATAAGGCCAGTTCCCTTCTCATTACTGTAGTTTATGCACACCGTCTGGCATGCAAAGTCCTTGAGCTTTCGCCAGTATCTCTCTGGCACGTCTTCCCCCTTGGTGAAGATGGAGGGCGACCCTTGGTGAGGGTCTGGACAATGATGAAGGGCCAGCATTAGCAAACCAATAAATCTGCAAAAATGTCAACAATTCTGTGTTTTTCTGTCAATATGGGGTGCTGTGTGTACATTAATGAGGAAAAAAAATTAACTTAAATGATTTTAGCAAATGGCTGCAATATAACAAAGAGTGAAAAATTTAAGGGGGTCTGAATACTTTCCGTACCCACTGTATATATATATATATATGCAAGTTAATAAGTTTAGTTACAGCATCCACCAGGAGAAACTAGATGGCAAAATCAGGCAAACCTCAACCCTTTGGTCTCTGCCAGTCGATTCTGCTTGCTGAATTGCTGTCTGACCTATAACAACTAGCCAGTGCTGCACACGTGAGCTGCTACGTGCTTCATAATCTGATCAAGAATGGGTTCGCTGTCCTCAAACACCTCTCAATCAGAATAAAATCTTGAAGGTGACCTTCACTGTCCTCGAGGAGAGATTTTCCCTTGTTTCTCCTTTAGAAGATGATGCAACGGCCTCAAGGTCATTCAAATGTTAGGTCAATATTTGCTTTCGCGTTAATAGTTTTTTTTTTTCCATTTCATTTTTCTTTTTTCCTTGCACAGCATTCCTCTCTTTCACGGTAGTCATCTCTCGCTGTCGGTCTCAAGTATGCCAGCATTGATCTTTCATTTCCTCATCCTCCGTGGAGTCTTATCAAATTACAAATCCTAGGGTTTTTGTTTCCACCTCTATCAGCATGTGATGGATCCTGATGCAGCTGATCTGAGCGCAGCCCTTGTTTGTTGTGCATTAAACGCCTCTTACCTGACTGTCAATGATCAGCTCAGTGATATGAAGCTACACATTGGATCAATAAAATGGCAGGGTTTATATGAATGCATAATGAAGCCTCTTGAATTATCTTGCTATCAAGGTTTGCTTCGATGATATCAATGATAGTTGAACCTCTGACCGTATGTCAACCTAGATGCTAAGCTCATGAGTTTTAAAATCGACTGCTCTGATTTTAAAAGTGCGGTAGTATAAACGATAATTAGGATTTCTATGTGCATGCGCATTGTATTACAGTAGATTAGAACCCAGAATCCTTCATACTCAAAGCAGAAATGTAAACCATTGATTGATGATCGAGTGTTAATTGTTGAACCACTGACCTGCAAAAATCCCTGGTGTGAGATGTAGGAAATAAGTTATTAAATATTAAATATCACAAATTCAATTTGAGCACTTGTATTGGTTGGCAAGAATGATTGCTCATTCAGAAAGTATAATGAAAACACGTCTCACAAAGTATAGATAAAGATCTAGATCAATACATTACATGCATGTTTGACAGAATATGTGTTAATCACAAAAGTAAAAGATTATATTACTAGTGATGCACCAAAATGAAAATTCTAGGCCGAAACCCAAAATTCAGGATGCACTTGTAAATTTTAATTGATAATTATTAACTTAATAATTAACTTATTTAAAATTACAGCATAATGAGCACCATATAATATTTGAAACATTCACCATTTCTAGTCACAACCTGTCTATGCCAGTTTTTAATGCAAAATAATATTCTTTTAGCTAGTGTAAATTTATTCTTAAAGGCAGTGTAGGTGATTTGGTTAAAAAAAAAAAATTTATGCTGGTTGAAAGTCCCTTCACATCCCGATAGCAATAACTAAGTTAAGTGGTCTAAATGTATTTCTATGTATTTATATAATCTGTGGACGATATAAATTGGATGACCATAAAATGTTTGCCCAATCGTATTCCTCAGTCCGAGGGCTATGATAGGCTGTCCTACCTCCTCTCTTTGCTCACACAGGAGGTACGACACTCTCGCTTCATCCATTTGCCAAAGTTTAATTTTGCTCCTACAGTCCTAAAGCTTTTAATTAGGCCTCTCACATGGTAGTGGTGCTCTCTCGACGCGCCCCCAAAGAGCTACACCGCAGTATAAAGGAAACAGGGATGAGCTTTCATAATGCGAAAGGTCACGTCCATGCGACAGCTGTGGTTTTAATCAAAATGGCTACTGAAACTTGCACGTTAAAGAGCCATGGTAAGTGTCACATGGGATTATTGAAGTTTGGAAAAGACTTTAAAGGGTAGGAAGAAGTTGTTAAAAGTATGAAACATCTTCACCGACCATCTGCCAGTGGCCTCATTTTGTTTAGGTGTCTAAAACCAGCCAACAAATTGCCTGGTTATCTTTGATTCCGTATTGCGAAGTTCCCTCACGGTTTCTCATCAATGAAGTCCTAACTGATGGTCCGCTGTGATTTACAAGTGCCAGCAAATCATCTCCGTCTGAGGTGTTTTGTTTCTTTATGGCCACCAGCAGCACTACACTGAATTTTGATAGCATGAAAACTGAAGAGCCCTCAAAAAAATCTCTTCGACCATTGAAGTCTTTTGAGATTCATGAGAAGCAGCTGGCTTGGAAGATTATCAAATGTTCCCGGTGCTCGAGAGTCCAGTCACTACTTTTCCTTGAAGTCCCGGCTCAGCCCCCATTTCCATAACAGCCATATAATACAGACTTTTGAGCGATGCGAGATGGGTAAAAGTAAAGTGACACTTTCACTTTTGTCCTTTTAGCAGGAAGTGCCTCAGGATGAACCAGGCCTAGTTTTGATTTGAGCTTGTGTTAGGTCAACTAAGGGCTGATTTGTTAAGATTCATTTGCCGCGGTTTAAAACGCTCGTGGCGATTAAATGCTGCAGGCTCTGCTCTGTCTTTCTCTCAGCCGTTTATCGGCGTGTGGCAATTAATCGATTACGTGAGCTCTGTAAGTCTAGATGTAATATCACATGAGCCGTGAGCTGTAAAAGATTCAATTCCGTTCTCCACTCAACCTGGAAAATCTCTAGTGCCCGAAATGCATCAGTGTTTCGTTTTTTCATTCTTGTCAGAGAAAAATTTAAATTAGTCTACTCAAACCTCGGCAATCAAAAGGGCTCTTGAAATTCCTGTCCATGCTAAGCTCGAACCTTCAGTGGAAGCTAAGTTGTAATTTTTGACTTGTTAATTATTTCTAAGTAATATAGGTCACGTGCACACTGCAAAGTTTCAGGAGTGATAACTGCATTTACATACGGGAGTGAATTCCCTAAATTATCGTTTTGTATGTGTACGGAGCAGAACTCACTCTCAAAACTATGATGATTGACACCATGGTAACCATAGCAGCATTCTGCCATCTCGCATGTTTGGTATACGCTATTTTTAACCAAAGTAATATTACAATGACAAAAGACTCGTTATGTTCGGCGATTTTACCTAAAGCCCCATCGACAGAGACATCATGTTTTGTTAATGTTTGGAAGGCTGCTTTCTCAGAGTGCACTTTTGAAGGGTTGCCATGTCCACTTATTATAAGCAACGCTTATTAAGCGTCTTTGGGATTGATATTTGGGCTTGGCTCATAAACCGATCCAGTTTATGTAGTTAATGAAGTAGGCAGTTGCAGGTCGCTCTGTTATGGTATGTGGTTTATTTCCAAGATAGCACATTTGGATTTGAGTTTATTAGGGCTTGTTTTTATTTGAATACTTTTTTCTAGTATGATCTGGCAACAGTAATGAGTCGAAACATACCCTGTGATTCATTACACCACACATACAGAAAAGACACAACTCTGATGTTTAAATACGTCATTAACAACTAGTTGTTCATTTCGGTTCCATACACACTGTGTAGAATTTCTATAAATTCGGTTGTCAATACCTGCATTTTTAGAGAGTCAATTCAGTTGTAGAATGCAGTTGTCACTTGCGTAAATTACTGAACTGTGTATGTACAGAACAGAATTAAGTACTAAAAGGTCAATTGATTTCATTGTGTACATGGCCATAGACGTGGCGAGTTATCTTATGGCATTCGAAACGACCCTACATTGGGCGCCACATTTGACTGCGTGCATTAGGTTAGAATTGGATTGGTCTTAAATTAGAAAGAACTACATACGGTGACTTAATGTGTAATTCCAAGCCATGCTAGGCTCAGTTCCCGGATGACATACCGAGGACATTCTCAAAATGAGAGATGCTTTGCTCCATGAGCCTTGGGGCTTTTCAGATTGCATGTCAATACGGTTTACTATACTCAGTGTGATGTATAGACGCTTGTGTAAACAATACCTTTATCTTTGTCCTCTAGGAAAGTAATTGCTTTTGTTTCCAGTCCTATTCCCTGTCAGACGTGTCCTTTCTTCATGTTTGCGTTTAGAGGTGATCAGGCAGAGGTACGCGGACCTGCCGGGAGAGCTGCTGATCGTGGAACTGGAGAAAGATCGGAATGGCTTGGGCCTCAGTCTGGCCGGGAACAGGGATCGCTCCTGCATGAGCATCTTCGTGGTGGGGATCACCGCCGGAGGGCCGGCCAGCCGAGATGGACACATCAAAGTGGGCGACGAGCTGTTGGAGGTGAAACGTGCAAACACACAGTCAAGTGATTGAGTGGTTGAGGTGGGGCTTAGAGAAGGTGAACATCTTCAACTTTTAGTACAGTATTTCTTTAAAAAAAAAAAAGAAAGAAAGAAAAACTAAAAAAAAATGACATCAAATCAAATTATTTGTTCATTAGCAGTCATTATAATTGATATGAATTGGTTAATCAGTAGCCAATAATAATAATTAATGTAATTATTAATGTTATATTTTATTAATTGTTATTAATTACAGTTTTATTATATTATTTTTATTGATGTCACTTATACATATTCTTAATTTTAGTTATAATTTATTTTATTATTAATTTAAATATTATTTCTATTTATCTATCATCTATCTTATCTATATGTTTGTACGCTGGAAAGAAATTACTTTGAAACTATTTTTACTCACAAAGTGCTAGTAAGTTACACAAATA